AATTAAGGTAAATCAAGAACAGCAAATAGTATTTGTTTGAAACGGCAAGCTAACAAAACGGAAGGGAAAATAAAACATTAATTTTAGAAAGTAATTTTTCATTAAATAGTTAGCTGAATTAGAAGTCAATACATTCTTGGATAATTACTTCTTAATCTATTAATTGTTGTTTTTTTTAAATCTGATTTAGTATTATTTGATAATAGGATTAAAACGGACATAAATTAGTATTTTATTGTTTTAAGCAATCAATTTTACGTCTAACATGAACTTAAAGCACCAGAAATAAAAATATTAATATTGTGCTAATCCTGGCCGCTCAAGTAGAGAAATGCGGTGCCTTGGAATACTGGGGCTAGCGTTAGCCTCAGTAGCATCTAGCGTTCATCTTTAGCTTAGCATTACTCTAAGATAGCAGACTATTTTATCTGGCTTGGAGAAAAGAGAGGAAAGGAGAAGGGACTAAGGTCACATTACTTGATTAAAATGACTTATCAGTCGATAGTTGTATTAAACGGTTTTATAACGTTTTAAAACCCAAACAGTTTGAAGGTATAAAATCCTCCAAAACCAATCACAGTGAGATTGACAGTGAAACTCAATCTTTTATTGTGTAAGCTAACTTTTTGTTTCACAGTTTACTTGAACAATTCCAGAAAACATCAAATTTTGTTTGTCTTTTTAAGGTACACCTTTCAAATTGGTGACTGAAAATTATATTAATATTTTATCAAGCAGCAAAAAAAAAAAAAAAAAGAAGGTTCTTTCCCCTTAGCTCTTTCTTAATAACTCCTTTTAAGCAAATGGGCAACATCCTGGGTAACCAGAAATAAACTTCCAGTGGGGAAAAAAATCCAAACTGTGGTGAACCACAGGAGGAAAAAAAAAAGAACTCATCATCAGGAGTCACTTTCATCTCTGGCTCAATCTGGGAATCAGGTTTCATATGTTTGGAGATTTTTGTCAGTCAGACAATTTATCTGCTCAGAAATCCTGAACAGAAACTCCTGCTGAATTACGTCACTCACTCAAGAATGGAGACGTAAAAAAAAACCAACAGATTTCTGTTTTTTTTTCTTTCTTTTCTTAAGTTTCCGTTTGCTTTATTGCGTTATTGGTGATGGGTGAAAATAATGTGCCGATTTCTTTGGGAACAAGTCTGGAGTGATTGGTGACGAAACCGATGGTTACTCTCGTTCAGGAAATGAAGGAACAGGGAGAGAAACGGAGGAGGCCCAAAGGTGGAGACGGGGACGAGGACGACACGGAACAGGCGAGCGGAGTGAGGAAGAAAGTCAAGGGAGGGCCGGGCGGAGGGAAGAAGAGGGGCGGAGCAGCCTGGAGAGGAGGACGCTGAAGCAGGAAACCAAACAGTAAAATGTACATAACCACAACACAACATGCCTCTCCGCTCTCTGACCTAAACTTTACTATCATGACGGCTTGTTTTCCACACTTCGCTGTGCGAGCCGACGACTATTTAATGACAAAAAGTGCTCTCTTTTGTCCATGTAGGACGTTTTTTTTTTCTCATTTGTAATAAAACTTTGCTATGAAATCTCAAGCGTTGTCATTGGTGTTATGTTGGGATTCAGATGTCGCTGTCGTTAAGAGAGGAGGAGGAATGACTGGGATTTAAACCTCTAAGGGAGAAAAGACTCATGGTTATTAATATTTAAACTTTTTTTTTCCTTTTCTGAAAAAAGTATTATGAGGAGTATTAATTATCAAAATATATCTCCACAACAGCAAAGTAGAGCTTGTGTGATATGGATTTTGCTAGTTATTGTTGGTCTTCTAAATAAAAAGATGAGGAAAACTAGCTTCCGTTCCTCCTGAGCTGTCAACAAAAATAACTTTCGAGTGAAGCAATTGGCATTTTGAAAATAAATTTGCTTTATGGAAACATGCCAATTGTGGAAAAAAAATAAATGAATTAAAAAAAAATCCTTTTTTGATAAAAACTTTGGCCCCAGCGTGGGGTGTTTGTTTTTGGCTTTTTTAAATTTCTTTTTTTTTTAATCTATCAAAATTGGTTTATTTTGCAAAACTGCAATGAAAAGTTTTTTCCTCAACACAAAAGTCACATGATCAACAAATGGATGTTGCTCAAACAGGAAGTAGTTGGAGGATCATGACCAGGTATGTTTTTTAATTATCTTGTGAACAAACTTGTATCTGATTTTAATATTCTTTATTTTAAGGAAACACTACAATTGTGATATATATATATATAATATATATATATATATATGTTAGCGGAATATTGACAAAGTTTTGCACATTTTTGGGATGGAAACTCGGCTATCATGCCATAAAGCCTTTTATTAATGTGCTGCAATGTTTCAGTTTGGAAAAATATGATTATATGGAATTTAATTTAAATATTTTCCACACGTTGATGAAAATAGAGTATGGAAAGAAGAGCATATTTAGATTTTATTCAGTTGTCCATCCATCAACCATCCTTTTGTTCATTCCTCTGCTGGTCTGTCCATCCACCTGTCCATCCTTTTTTGTCCATTTATCTGTTTGTCCATCGTCACACCTTCATCCATTTATCCATCCATCAACATCGAGCTGAAAAAGCATGGCTTTAACAATACAAATACATAAAAATCCTGATAACTGCAACTCCTACAGCTGATTAAAAATCATATTTAGAGCTTGTGAAATATAGATAAAGTGGTTACTCAAGTGGCTGTTTGCTCAGAGTCGAGGGACTTGGTTAGGGCGCTCGCCACGCTCGAACCGCCTCTGGAGAAAAAAAAACCAGTAATGAGTGGTTTTATATATTTATTGCATTTATTCCCACCAAATTAAGGAGCTGTGTTTTAACAGCCAATAGATGAAGAGCCGCAAGCTGAAACCCAATTGTTTCTAGGCTACATCCAGTGGGCGTGCGCGGTACCTAGATATTTTCGTGATAGATTTTAAAGGGAAAACAAACAGTTACCCACAAAAAAAAAAAAAAAAAAAAAGTTCAATTTTGTCCATATTAAAGAATGCAATGAAAACGACTTTATCTTGCAATTTTGCGCCTGTTCCTCATTCCGTACAGAGCTTTCTCTCTGTGTGGGCGCATTGATCTGGGTGATGTGGATCTAGGTGCGATTGGGTCCATCGTAGGCGGGAGCAGCAGCAGTGGTCAAGTCTGCTCCGTTTTGGAGGGGGGCTCCCACTTCAGAGGCAGCGCTCTGAGCCTGTGGTGCGCACTCACAAGCCAAAAATACATGACTGCATCTCGGCGGTGTGGAGCTGTTTGCTGCTGCTGCTGCCGCCGCATACGAGGGGACGTCGAGCCGACCGCTGATTCGCTGACAAACACCAGGTAAGTTGCCTGTGTGGCGCGCGGGGCAGGTTAAGGGGATGATGGAGCGCGTGGGGAGCAGAACATCACGACCAGCCGGGTCTCCAGCAGAGAGAGGAGCTGCTTCGAGAAACTTCATCGTGTTATTGTTAATTGTGTGAGTGAGTACAAAGCCACATTTTGAGCGGGTCCAGTTCAAACATAGGCCTGCTTTGGCCATTTAATTGTTAACGAGGTAACATTGATGACAATGTAACGGTGCTTCACTTATCTTTGGGTAATTGACATAATAACAGTTTATCTATGGCTGAACATTACAAAAATGTCCGAACTGCGTATATGCTGTTTAATTATCCGACTAGTTCACTTTTAAAAACACATTTCATCCACCGTGTAATGGCACATTTCTGTACCCCGTTCTGCTTCAGCTAGTTATAGCTGTGGCGCAGGGCTTTTTTTTTTTATCTTTCTCTTTACTGCATAGAGATATTGATCCAATGCATGCGAGCAGCAACTTTTATTAGCCGAATGACGGCATTACGGGCCGAAGGGGGTAATTTACAACGCAGTGAAGTCCTCATACAGGAGGAGGAGAGGAGAGGGGCTGGATATGTGTGCCATTCACGACGCCACTGCTTCCCGTATGATCTAATGCGTAAGCGTGGAGCCTACGCAGTATGCGCATTACTGCTGGGCAGGACAATCCACTAACAAGCCTCAGCCTCAGACCAAAACTTGGCATAAAAGAAAGTTTGTTCTCGGTCATCTGGATTTTTTGACCGGACTAAGCTGCATTCCTTGCTTCTTTCTCTGAATCTGATGGCATTACGTCAGGGAGAAGGACAGAGCTGCTCACAAGGAGGATGTTTGATGCCTAATTTGCCAATTTAGATCAAGATCTCAAGTAGTTAGAGGGCGGCTATTTATTCCAAAATGAGGCACAAGTCAGCCAACACGCAAAGCAAAACAGTTATCTCTCTGTGAGAGAGAAATAGGTCTGCTAAGAGACTAACATGAAGAAATGGAAACAGGTTAGAGATGCACCAATCAGAGATTTTGTGCTGCCCTGCCCATACCGATTTTTGTTGGTTGGTTCTTCTTTTGCTTTAGGAAATCTAAATAATAATAAAATTAATTAAGCATCTGGCTAATATGTTGTTATTAAACAGCGTTGACAATAACATAAAGATGAAAAATGAAATTACTTTACCAAACAATAATCCAAAGTTACTCCAGAGTTGACTCTTTCTGCAAAATCTATAAATGAAGTAAAATCCTGCAGCGTATAGAGGCGAGTCATCAATTAATAAAATTAAAGAACTACCAAATATCTCTTTTACTATTTTACCAGTAAGATTAGAGCGTTTCTTTTTGCATGCAATATGCACCATATTACAATATATTTTGTATGTTTTAATTTCAATCATTTGAAAATAAATACTCGTCGGTGTCTGAGTTAATATTCGAGATGGAAAAGCGTTCAGATTTGCTCTCATGTGTCAGATTGTCATTTGTTTACCTTAGAAGCAGAGCTTAGAGATCACTCTGTGTGTGAGTTAGAGAGAGAGAGCAGTCAGTGTTACACAGCTCAGGAGTTAAACTGGGATTTACAAATACTTTAAAACAAAGAAAAAAGGATTCAAGAGTTAACATTTTAAACCGACTTCAGCATCTTGTGTAATTGTTTCGAACGATTAGTTCAATGCTAACTTGGTAGCAAGATAAATAGCAATGCTAACCCTGACTGGCAGGGATAGCATTGCTAACTTCAGTCTCTGTGTGTTTCCTGTAGACCACTATAAAACAAAACATCATAGAAATTTAAAGGAGATGGGAAAAAAAAGTGTTTAGTCTCACAGCATCATAGATCTTTCACCATGGTTTACAATTTAAATGAAGAGCTTTTCCAGATATCCATCTTATTACAAGCCAGATGCTCTCAAAATGTCAGTCGAGTTCATCAAAAATATTTACATATACATGTTTGATGGCAGGTAAGAAAGGTCTTTTATCTGCTATGCCTTTTACACATCAGTTAGCATGTAGAAAGTGCTTTATAGTTGTTATGTAGTCTTTGTGACCTACAGATGTTATCTGCAAATAGGGCTTAGAATACGAGATTCATAAATTTATTTTAAGACTTTTTACATCTATAATTATGAATGGTAAAAATAAAGGTAGGGTTTCTGTAGGTAGAAAGTTAATAATAACTTCCGACCTCCTGCCCCTCTGCCCTGTACAGGTGTCTACATCGCACTGGTAAATCCCAGGGGAGATGTCTCATCGAAGTGGGCAAGAGGACCCGGAGCGGTACCTGTTTGTCGACCGGGCCGTGGTGTACAACCCGGCCACGCAGGCCGACTGGACGGCCAAGAAGCTGGTGTGGGTCCCCTCGGAGCGCCACGGCTTTGAGGCGGCCAGTATCCGGGAGGAGCGGGGAGAGGAGGTGCTGGTGGAGCTGGCGGAGAACGGTAAGAAGGTGGTGATCAACAAGGACGACATCCAGAAGATGAACCCGCCCAAGTTCAGCAAGGTGGAGGACATGGCCGAGCTCACCTGCCTGAATGAGGCGTCAGTGCTGCACAACCTAAAGGATCGCTACTACTCTGGACTGATATATGTGAGTGTTCAGGCCTGAAGCCTTCTGCAAATTGTGATTTTCAGAAAGCTCTCTGTAGACTGTTATCTATATTAATAGGTAACAATCCAGTTATTGTTGTGTAGAATTTGATCATTTTTGACCATCTGTGTTTTGGATTCTTGTTAATTTGGAAAATGGTGTTTGAGGTCACCTTCCTCCTATAAATACGTCACAACGGGTGGAAGATCCTGGCCAAGCAGAAAAACTGCTTGCCAACAATGACTACCAGTGGTTTTATTTTCAAATTGTCACCATAACGCGCTAAATCTTAAATGCAGGTGGAATATATAAAATATGTTTGGCTACTAATTGTGTACCATGGCAACTAGATAACAAGATCCAGTGATATCACATTTCACATTGCAAAAAATTTTAGTCAGATAAAAAAAATGGCGAGGGGGAGGGAAGTAAGCCAGTTATGCTAGCTTGACTTTGACAAACTTAATATGTAGATATGCTGTGGAATTTGATGTTTCAGTTCAGTAGAAAACAAAATGATGTGCTTTCTTATGCATCATTTAGTTTTCCAAAAGAGCTAATCTGCCACTAACAGACTGAATGCTCTGCTCTTTGTGTGGGAAATATTTGTGTGTTTTTTGGGTTTGAGTCCTGATACGCTTGAACAGAATAGTAGTATGAAAAAAAGAAGAATATGAGTGACTTTGAGTTGTTTTTACACAGTTTTTCTGTTATTTTCCATTTGCTGTGGCGCACTTTACTGAGTTAAAAATACCTACATCTCTAGGTTTCATTTTGTAACAGAGTTGTCGGTAAAAGAATCGTCCTTTTGCCCTCCAGCGGACATAAACAATAACATGCAACGTATCTATATATACTGCTACTTTCCTTTAGCTGTGTGTAACCTTCGCTACAGGGTGACCTCTTCTATAACCACTGAGTCTGTTTGTCTTTTACTGACTTCTGCTGGCTTGTTTAGTTTAGAGCACAAACAAAAAATCGTATGACTTGGTCACAAAATGAAAAAGAAAACTGGATTGTTCCTTCTCCTTATTATCATCCAAATATTTTCAGTTAACAAAAATAGGGCAATTTTCTGACAGCAGACGGGATTTTTAAAATTGTTGTACATGAATCTGGGAAAATCACAAATCTTTTTTCAAATGTAATTCTGGATGCATGGCCTTGGAAAAGTATTCATAACCTTTAAACTTGTCACCACAAATCACATTTATACTCAACCTCCTTTTCTCTAACCTAAATAAAAACAATGTTTTTTATGTGTTCAGCATAATTTCTATCATTCTAAGATGGGTCTGAATCTAAGCGAAACAGGATTGAAATGTTCATGGTTAAAGTTTCTTCTGTTTTCAACATGGGTTTGTCCCCATGATCTAATTCCAGCGGAGCTGCAGCTCCTCTGTGATGCCGACCCATTTAGTGGCTCGTTTTCCACGAATAGAATGTGGGCTGTCACCTCCGAGACTCCGACTCGGCCAATGCAAGGCAGGCTTATCAGTTGTCCTTCTGCGAGACAAAACATCACTGCTGATTCCCTACAGAAGCCAGCAGCTATTTGGATGCTTCTATGCCAAATTGCAAGAAAAAAAAACATATAAAAAAAAAAAAAGTCAGGAATTTCCAGTAGTTTGTGAATTATCCCATCTGGTTTAGATTTGATCTCATTCCAGCAGCTCACTATGCTCCTCTTCAGCTCCCCTGTAAACCACAGTGTCTTGGTTTCTGTGTTTTCCTGGTTTAAATTGGTTTTGGAGCTTGCTAATTGTCCCCTTGCTTGAGAAAAATTGAAAACATGTGTTTGGCTGCGTTGGTTTTCTAACAGGAAGAGCATTTCCACCCCTTTCGGCTCAGTCATAGAAAACAATCTCCCTACTTTCTTAACCTTCTCCACAGCCTTTAGTCCCTTCTAACACCTCTGTAGACATAATATCACGCCCCCCGCAGGCTGTGCTGTTTCTCAGGGTTATTGGAAAGACTTATTTTTCTGAGTCTCACTACTACCTAGATGGTTTACTTTGCTGAGATTTATTTTCTTTTCTACTTATCACTTAAGAAAAAGCCCAGCTGTGATCTGAAGCGACAGCCTGTCTGCTGCGTTTGGTCACACTTTTCTGAGACATGAACAAATATTAAATCCTGATTGATCTCCTGTTAGACTCACCATATGGACTATGTTTGATACTCTCACCGCATTATTGGTATTAGCGTGTTTGCAAAAAAAAAAACAAAAAACAAAAATCTGAACAAAAATGTGAGCCCAAAATGTGAAATATTTTTGGTTATTGTGTCAAACCAAAAATATTTCTTCCTTACTGCTGTTAAAATACTGTGACACATTAATTATTACAGTGATAATCATGTTATCTATAGAGTTTATGTATTTTTTTAAGTAATAGACTGAGGTGATAATAGATAACAGACACTCTCTTAGTTGTTTTCTAAGAGCTTTTTGCTTTTCTGTTATAGTTTGATGACTAATTTCAAAACAGTATTAAGTTTCTATACATTTGTTATGGGTGATTCTGCTTCAGCTCCCAAACCATCACTATCTTTATTTTTCATGACTGGAAATATTTCCAAATGGGAATGAAACTCTCACAGGTTGATTAACTTTGAGTAAAAACGTCATAGCTTTTATGCTATTATCAAAACAGAAATAACAAAATAATGAATATAGAAATGACCTAATTGCTTTTATTTGAAAAAAAAAAGCAACAATTACTTTCACTGCTGCTAAAGATCATAAGTTATCACAGTAAGACTATCTATATGTTATTTTTTATTTTAATCCATGGACTTAAGCAAAAACTATAGAAAAATGGAATAAATACTGTTTTACTTTGAATTGCTTATTAACCTAGGAGTGAAACAAGCTGATAATTAGTCAGGCTATCTGCTCATGTAGCTAGCCTGCATTCTGCTGCTTGACAAAATGAAAGTTCATCTTGATGAGAGTAATAGGTGATGCTCCTTTAATTATTAAATCTAATACAGAAACTGCTAGATGGAGAAACGGTTGTAGCAACTTGTATTCAGCCAGATGAGTGGTAGCAAGATGTGATTGAGGGCGTGGCTCCATACTACCATAGAAAACTATTGCGATTTTCGCAGCATCGCATTCTAGGGTCGCTCGACTGTAACAAGGATATCATGGAAAATTTTAGCACTTTTGAATCCCTAACTTTTTAAAACCGTGCTATTGTTAGCTTGGTAAAAACAAACCTCTTGTTCTACCTTTTTACTCATACAGAAGGTCTACCCAATTACCCAATTGCTAATGTTTGTCCGTGACGTATGTAATGGGCCAGTTCAATGCGATGTAGTTTACTGGAAATTGGTTGTTCTGTAAAAAACATCCTCCACTGCAAAGAGAGAAGAGCCGAGCTGAATGTGGCGACTATTAATGTTAATCCAGGATTTGGATTGGCCAAAACGGACTGAACGACTTCCTTCACTTCCTCTGCTGCCATTGCTAAAACTACAATTCTAAAACGGCACAGAAAATCAACATCACCGTTCATAACTTCTCCTTCTGTTTGCTGATTGGCCCGGTTGAAATTCTACCAGAGAGAATCCAAGTGAATGGGAGAAATCCCAGACGAGCTGTGAAATGAGATTAGAATTGAGCAGAATTGCTTAGGGGGCTGATAGGCAGGTTATGTTACTGGTAACCAGGCCATATCTGCTTCTAAAAATTCACATCTATCTTTCTTGGAAAAGAGGGGCAATTGTAGTAGCTATCACAGAGTTTCAGCCGCTTCATTCAAGTCCATTCAACAATTTTTCTTGTTTTACATGAAAATGACTTTAAACTTTTGGAACATTATGACAGAATATTTTCAAATCATATGTATATCTTAATAGCCACCTATGGCTACCACGCACACCTTTTTTTTGTTTTGCTCAGACCTGCTAGCTTTATAATTTCTCTGCCCTCTGCTGCATGCTAACATGCCCCTGTGCCTTTTTTGTAGATGTGAAGTCAGTCGGCTTGTTGGTCCAGGTTCTGCATTGTTACAGCTTTCTAACTATGAGGTATTGAGTCACAGGTCTCTGGAGGGGCTACATGCTGGCTAGCTGCACTTGAGCCGTGCTACAAGAAGGCCTTTGTGTAGTTAGATAAGCCTCAGCTGTCAGAAAGGCTCAGCATTTCTCCATGGCAATAAGGCTGTCTGTCTATCTGCTTCCTGACGCCCACTGCAGCCCGAATGTGGCTCAGTCTCTCGCCTATCCCCATCAGCTCTATTGCCAGGCCCATGCCTTCTGCTTATCCAGGGTTTCTGACTCACTGATCTGACAAAAACATTAACGCACACGGCTTTGTTTCTCTGTGTGTACCTCCACCTTTGCTTGCTGTGGCTTTTTTATTGATTTCTCAGTGTGTGGCAAACAAACGTCCCTCACTGGACAGATGGGAGGACAGAAACCTTTTATCACCAAGCATGAAACTTTTTATGGAATGAATTAAACGTCCAGCTTCTAAATGTAAACGAGGGACGTGAAGGCGGATTAATAGTTTATTTTCAGAGTATCAAGATAAAACTGCAGTTTTTTTTTTACTTTTTATTTTCAATCACTGTTTTACATCAACATACACACACAGTAGACATACTGAGAATACAAACTCAAGTAATGAAGGTACCTAATAGTGATAATACAAACTAAATTTGAAAAGTATATGAACAAGACAAAAATACATAAATAGAGGTATCAAGGTTACAGTATAAATTTAGTTATAGGTCTCCATCTTGTTTCAAAGGTCCCCATCTTAAGTTGTAGTCTTGATGTTGTTTTTTTCCATTATATAGACTTTTTAATCCTATCTCGCCACTGTGTAAAACTGCAGTTTTATGTCATGTTATATTGACTTGCAAAAATGTGCAAACCTCTTAAACGTTTCCACAGCTTGTCGTGTTGCAACCGCTTGCTCCTTCAGTGTGTTTTATTGAGATTAAGTAGTAGGTAATGGTGAAATTATGGCTGCCTTTCTTTCCTTCTACATGTGAAACCAATCTTATCTACCTCCGCAAAGGTCTGAAAATCAGCCACTGTCCACTTTTGCTCTGCCGTGAGAGAGCGCTGACTGATAGAGGTTAACAATAGTCACCTCAATGTTTCCAACTTGGCAACTTTGTTGCTATATTTAGCAACTTTTCCGACAAAAAACCCCCCAAAAACGGTATCAGACAAAATTGGATTTGGTGGATCAGGATTTGTAAAAATTTGTGATCGGCCTGAAAACTGGAATCAATGCACACCCAGGTAAAACGGTCGAGAATAAATGATCTACCATCGTTTGGTCTATCACATAAAAATCAAACATGTTAAAAATCAATACAATACTTTAAAGATGTTTTTCTTTTTCTAAATGGAAACATTTAAGGAGTATGAATACTTCTGCATGGCTGTCACTCCCACATCTAAACTGGAACATCTTGCTGTGAAGTACATTTGAGAAACTTAATGAAACCGTCCCGTTTCCTCTAAAATCATCTGACATCCTGCGTCTCAGTTGTTGTGGTTGTGTTTTGAGCTGTGAGTGTCTGAACACTTTGTTAGCTTTGTTATGAAACCGCTGAAGCGTAGCTTCAAGGGAACGGTCAAAGTCTTGTGTGCTCCCAGCAGACCATGGGCTCCTGTGCTCTTTGTGGGGAGTGTCCCTTTAACGCTGGCATGCCGACCGTGTGATCACAGGCGGCAGATGGGCTCGGCTGTTGTGTCTGCTGTTGCTTGTGTGTTGCTCAGCTGTTACCAGGTCACAGCATCCCCTTCGCTGGATCTGGTTTCACTGTGGAAATTTCACCTTCTCTTTCCTGGACCGAGCTGGGAGTGTGGAGTTCGCCGGTCGGTTGCAACTCGGCGTAAAAGCTGCAGCCGTTCCAGCTGTTCCAGTTCTCTGTGGAGGTGCAGCTGAGCGGAGAACGCAGAACAGAGTCTTTATTTATAGCAGCTACAGTTTTCAGATAGGGGGGGAATTAAATTTTCATTAAAAAGGAGAGTGCTGAGCTAGAATTTCAGCCTGGTCTCCGTCTCTCCACTGCTTAGCAATTTTACAGAATAGCTGAGAACGTCACACAGTGTTCGTTACATCTCCACCTTTCGTCCGAATCCGACCTCTGGGAGTTCTGTCAGCTTTATCGCTGACAGACTCCTTTCTGTCTGCCTACCTCTCTCACCTTCCTTTTCTCATCTACCTTTTTTCTGCATCAGCACTTTAGCATCGGTTGCTCAGTGCTGACTGAAGGCCCAGACGGAGCTGATACACAACGGCTGCATCATGCTGCCTGCTTCTTGAAAGTGGATTTAATTATTAAGGAAATGTTTCATCATGTGATGCTCTGATCTAAAGAGATTAATGTGGGTCATACCTTTTAAAATGTTATGAAGTCGTTTTACTACTGTAACGTACAGCTTCACAAAGCTTGGCTTAGTTGGATTTAGTCCAAGGAAACATGTATTTTAGTGCCAGGTTGCAAAAATAAAAGGTTATGATGCCTTGCAACAATGTACGCATATTTGAAACTAGATGTTTACATACGCTATTTAAAAAACAGAACCTTTTTATTCTCACTGTGACACTTTGACCCAAAATCAGACAAAATTTTTCCTTTTTTATTTCCGTTAGAATTAGGCCTGTCAAGATTAAAAAATTTTCTGGACTAGAGGTTATTGCGATAAACGATAATATTCTTCTTTTCAGACCATAATGATGATGCAAGAACACATTGTGAAAGATCAATAAATTTCAAATTCTGATGAACATTTAACCCTGTAACTGGAAGACATTTTAAATATATAAAATAAATAAACAAAAAAATAAATAAAATGAATTATGAAGTCTGTGTAAACAAAATTGTCCTCCAAACAAAAAAAGGCCAGAAGAGGCCAAAGCACCAGACTGAAGACTTTTGACGTAAAGAGAGAAAAGAGAAAAATGATAAATCATGCAAATGTAAATTATTGAGTTTGTTTTAATTTATTATGCGATTAATTGATTTATTGATTTATTTCTTCCTGTGACTGGTATGGTCACAATTACTAAAATCAGACAGCCAGAAATTTAAGTGTAATGCATAAAGGAAATATACATAATTTAGGGAAAAAGTCTGACTCAAAACTATTTAAATAAAAAATACACAACAAAGAACAAAGATGAATTGCTACATTAAAACATGAAAATAAAAATATACATTTATACCTCATTAGTAGATTAACTATTAAATAAATCTCTTCTTTTTACTACTTTGTTAGCCTTTAAGGAGACACTAGTTTATTTGTCAAACTGCCTTTTCACCCTGTAATCGTGTCATTTCATTAATTTATTTCTATATTTATTTTCAATTATGGCAGGATTGGTTCTCCATACTTTTCTGGTTTTTGTTTAATAAACGTGTGAAAACCAGCGTGTCATTTTCCTTCCACTTCACAAATATGCTTTACTTTATGTTGATCAATGACATCATATTCTGACAACATGAAAAAGTTAAAGCTTTTTTTCATCTCCAGTCTTTCAAAAAAATTTTTTTTTGGTAATTTTAGGGTTTTGGTGGCGGTTACAAAAATTCACCATTTAAATAAAAAAGTCAGCTTTCATCCGCTTATACACTGTTGATTTTCTTCATCGCTGTTCCTTTTTTAAACTTTCTGATATTTTGTTGAGTTTTGCATTCTGTGTGCTCACCCATGTTCTAGGCACACAAAGGAAGGACAACCAGAACCAGAACCAGGTCGTCTGTAGGGATAACTCAAAGCGTCCGCCATGGCCTCTCACTCAGCGCTGGCCGCCTTTCTTACTGCCTGCTTGTTTTATCCCAACGCCCAGTGAAGAAAGATTCTTACCACATGCGCCCTCCAGGGAGACATTGTTGGGTTAATTGCGTTTCCAAAAGCAACACCACAAGTCAGAAACGAGGCTAAACATTTTCAGAGCATTCTGGATGAAGCATCATGAAACCCGAGTTAATGTGAAACATCTCATCGCAGCGCTGTGGGAGTTTTTCTTTCTACTGTCAAAAGGAAGAGTTTTTATTCTTACGTTTAATCACAGTTTTCTCAGATCTGTGTTTCGGTCTGCTCTCCGTCTGTCAGTGTGTTGTAATAACGTAAGCTCCTAAAAGTGTGCGATGATAAGCCTTGTTGGACTGATGGAGTGCAGGTTAGATGACTTATAAAGATAGGAATGTGCAGCTCCTTGTAAATCGGAAAAGCTGATGATTTATTAATTCTCTTCTTTTTGTGTCTCCTCTTAAAAGTGCTTTTCTTCCTCTTTACGCATGTTTCTTGTTAATTTTCTTTTTTTTATGATTGCAGACTTACTCTGGTCTTTTCTGTGTGGTCATCAACCCCTACAAGAACCTGCCCATCTACTCAGAGAACATCATAGAGATGTACAGAGGAAAGAAGAGACATGAAATGCCTCCACACATTTATGCCATCTCTGAATCAGCGTACCGCTGCATGCTCCAAGGTAAAATTAACCCCTCATGCATCATCATATGCTGTGTTATAAGTGTAACAGGTGTCATCTTTAAGCGTTTAAAGCTTTTAATTTGCTCAATGAGAAATGGAGATCAGAGAATAGTTTTTACATTGCATTAATGTATTAGTAAGGTTTCCTCCATAAAACTAGCTAAGCCTGGTGGTATGGGCACTAGGGTGGTCATCTGGCGACTTTCTGCATTTTCAAATTAAAACAGTGTTTAAAGTTGGCAGGAAATTTGGAACTATCTCTGGGTAATTATGTTCTCTTGGAAGACATTGTCAACTATTGTTGACAATGTCTTCCAATAGGACCTAAACATCAACTCTAAAGTCTTAAAAGTCCCTAAAATGAATAAAACAAACAAAGCCTAGATTGATAGAGGCGCAAGTAAAGCCTGGTGGCCCACCAGGGTTATAATACACTGATTTTCAGTAAAAACGAGAGGTTAAGAAGGTCAAACCAGTAAATTAATGCCCTTTTTGTTTATTATAAGCTTCATTTTCATTTTATCTTTCCTGGTCTGAACTTTAGGTAGCTTGCAGCAAACATGAGGTTCAGTTTCACGGCACAAATGACAGTAAAGTAGGGCTTTGTAATAATATCGATATTGTGATATAAATCGATATTTTCTTTCCTAGAAAAAAATCAATATTCATCCGCAAGTTTCGTAACATCCAACTGTCACCTTGCTCACTCACTGCTTGCTTTGCCCGGAGAGTGATTAGGTCATCAGGCTTAGAGTGATTCCTTCAGATGTTAAGTGTGTTAAAAAGGTATCAAACTATTCAGAGCAGGTACTTGGTGCACTTTATTTACTTAATAAATCCATGTAAGCTACAGTTTGTACTGTTTCAATTAAAAGAAACATGTCTTCTCAACACTTCTTTGATTCATTTTGTCTAGCTGTTGACTTTAAGTCTGTGTCCATGTCCAACCAGAGCCAGGTAAAGTGTAGTTGGTGCTTTTAATCAGTTTTCAGTTAAATTAATTCAATCCAACTCTACAAGTCACAAAATGTCACCAAAATCACTCTGTCCCTCTAAAATCTTTCAGAAAATCGCAAAAGTGTATTGAATTGTATTGTTTGCTGAATATCGCAATATATATTGTATCGTGAGCAGAATATCATGTATCGTATCGTGAGATTATTGTATCACTACAGCCCTACAGTAAAGTGGGAGAAAGTGTCGGGGTCATAGAGGATGTCAGGCAGAATGGAGGGTTGTGACTGAAACGAATGCTTGTGTTATGCAGATTGACACAGTGTATGCAGAGTCTTACACCATAAGACCAGTGCAGATGGTGATTTATTCATGCTCAGCTATGTGCAAAATCTCTTCCCAATTCTCTGCCTCAGTCCTCTCTGACAGTTCCTGTTCCCATTTCCCTCGTAAATTTAACTCAGTATGGTTAGGGAAAATCCCACACAGCGCACTGTAAAGTAAATCAGCTTTACTGTTTGTTAAAACATGATTTTCTCAATAATTGCAGTATCATAATGCATTCATAAGAATACGTTTGTACTTATTTGGGGGAAAAAATGGAAAAACTGCTTTGCAACCTGCTATCTTCATAATAATAGACTTGTTTGACTGTTGTAATTAACTTGTTGCATTTATAGTGTGGATTTGGGTTTATTCCACTTTTACACAAATTAGTCATGGCTAAAGCTGCAGCTGCCTCACACTTTTACAGCTGTTCATGAAGCACATGGACTCCTTACCTGACAAAACAGTGAAGACACACTTCTAAGTTTTGGGAAATCAAGACATACCATAAAAATTCTTGAAATAAATGAAATGCAACCTCATTTGAGCAGAAACACGTGAAAAATTACACTCATTGTTTTCATATGGGAAAATTAGCATCAATTACTTACAGCAGAGGTTCCCAAACTGTGGGGTGCGCCCCCTAGGGGTGCGCCGTGTCATTGCAGGGGGGGCGCAGGAAGCCGCCTAGATGAAAAAAAAAACCAAACAAAACATGAACACTGTATGCGCTGGGTTTTTAGAATGGCCAACTCTCTGTTATTCCTATGTCAGTTTGATACAGTAGAGGCTTCCACACTTCCCATATCTGTGTCACTTTTATCAGCAGTTAAAACTGTTTAATCCGTTAACATGTTGTAACCTGTTTTTCCGAGCCGCCTTTAAACGCAACATGAGTGCTACGGCGCTCGCGCTGGGTTTCCACCTGTGAAGGAGACCTGCTGCTGCTGTGCGGAGCTACGTAGGTTTGTGTTAGAATCACGGCAGCAAACCAGCAAAACGCAAAGAACTTTTCACAGTTTTTCCCTCCAAACTAACCGACTGAGTCGAGTAAAGTTGTTGGATGCAGGTAATGTTAGCTAAAAGATGACTAGCTAATATCAATACAGAACCTGAAGCTTAACAAGTACCTCGTAGGCTACCGATGTTGGTGTCTATTTTCAGCTACATACATTCATTTTGCCCCCCAAAAAGTCGATACCCAAAGAGGAACTGTAAAGTCGTAAAACGGTTCATTTCAGCAACCGGGGGAATTTCTTGTTGCGTCTCCCACAGCTCTGAGGCAAATATCTGATTGTTTGTCAGCCACATTGCTGTGAAGGAATCTGGAAATAATTCCACCATAAGAGCCGAACAGATGCAGGACAGTGAGCCACGTTTGTTCTGAGAATTTGGGACGTGTCTGCGGTGCCACCATTCATTCCCCCTGACCTCTAATTCCCGGCTCATTCTTTCGGAGCGCTCGCAACGGGCAAAGCCGCCTGTGGAATGAGGTCACCGCCGTTCCTGCTTCCCGTACTGTGCTGCGCTAAATTCTGCAAGCTGAGTCATTGTCAAAGTTGACATAGCTGTCTGAACTGCCCATCAGCCTCAGCTGGACCCCTGATGGAGGGGATGCCGTGGTTACCATGGATACATCAGAGCGTATCTGTGGGTTAGGCCAGAATAACGGTGCGTTTCTGTGAGGAACTGGACTTTAAATGGTTGCAACAAGGTGCTTGGATGTGAATATAAACTCCTGTAACACTGACTACAAAATGTTTGAGATATTCTACTGCTCTATATTTGCTTTCTCTCTTTTTAACTGTTTTTTTTATCTACGTTTTAAATTTCAGTCGTTTTTCTTTTTTTTTTCCACCTTTCTCTGAGCCAGAATGTTCTGGCTTGGAAGAAATAAGGAGGAAAAGAAAACTCCCCTCATCCTGCCAGACATTTTAGTTGCCTTTCACTAAACATGAAAAATACAAACCACAGCTCTGCTGGAAGCTCTGCTGCAGCTCAGTCTTCTTTGTCCCACTTTTCTCTGGTCTTTAATTAGGAAACACAAGGAAACAAGTGTGAGGAATGTCCACCTTCTTATCAATGCTCAGTGTCAGGTTATAGCCAGGGTTACCATGGTTAGCCTTTTCTTTTTGACTGCTTAACCCAGTTTGAGATTTCCCCTTTATTTCACCTTCCAGCTTGTCAGGTAAAATAAATGATTTGGATTTGTTTTTCACTTATAACTGTTTTTACTTTTTGCTGTACTTGCAGCCTGTTGTTTGCTGCTGCAATTTGAGGCCATTACAGAACTGCTGTAGTCATTATTTTATGGGAAAAGAATCAAGAGTAAGTTAGCAACACAGATTGGCAGAACATGCCAGAACATGCCAATATTTTTCATGCTAAAAATATTGGCCATCATTGTGCCGCCATCAGTTTATGATTATCATATAAATATACTGTTCATATTTGTTTTTCAACTATGCAAACATGCATAGCTTGGTACTTATATCATTAAAAAGCAATGTGTTATCTGTAAAAAGATTAAGTAAATTTGATGTTAATCTTTAGTTTGAACACACACACACACACACATGGTGTGTAGCAATTTAAATACAAATCAAAAAACTATACATTAGCCATTTGTGGTTTTAGAACAAGAAAGGGGATTTGTGCAACTACCTCACAATAAGATGGTGTTGCATTTTTAATTCTCTGCGCTGAGTGGACAAAAATTGTTCTACCAAGTTCAGTGCTTGTAAATTAAACTCTGATTCTTAAATATTAATAAAGGGGTGATATGTAGTTTTTTCCCAAAGTCTTGAATTATGTTTCACAGCTAGTCCACTACTTGTAATAGCTTTTCAAAAGTGGATAGATAAGACAGCAAAGAGGTAGAAAATGGTCAAGAAATGCAATAGAGGATTGACACAGCAAAACTTAAGACATTCACAGATGTCAATGGATTTGCTGTGGAAAATCCAGACTGATAAGTTACAGATTGAAATAATGTGAGGCCAAAAGCAAAAAAAAAACTGATTTGGGGAGTTGGGTAAGAACAGGAGGATGCAGAAAGTGAAAGAGTTTAGGGGGAAGAGAGAAGAGGGTACAGGGGAAAGGCAGAGGGGGCGGCCGGTATTGTGCCTTACAATGGGGCCTTTGTGCGGTCCGAAGGGGGCTGGGATCACGGTGCTGTGTGCACGGGTGCAGACCGGGAGGCCTGGAGCTCCAGAGCTCTTCCCTGGGAAATGGGGCCTTTTGTTGGGGCAGCATGAGCTGCAGAGCAGGGCTGGTCAAGGACACACTCAGGGTCTGAGTGACGAGGCAGGTGTCTGTTTGGGACTCTTCCCCTGCCCCATTGGTAAATCTTCCGCAGGAATGAAGAAGTGTCCAAACAATACGTTTTCACTGATGTACTTCCAAGTTTGCATCTCTTAAAGAATCATGGAAGAAAAAGGTAAAATAAAACACATGGGCTGTTAGATTTTATTGTTTCTTTGAAAAGAAAAGAGGTGAGTGAGGAAAAAAATAAAATAGACAAAGCCATTCTTTAAAGGAGGTCGTAAGAAGTTTACAGTTTGCCTCAAGCCATGTAGGGGACACAGGACAAGGTTTTTCAAATGGTTTGGTTTGTTTGACAGATTGCAATGTGAACGCGAACCGCACTAGCTGAAAATGTAGGAAATGTTACAATTTCCTACATTGTAACATTTAGAATTGTAATTGGAAGTGCAG